GTATGTTCCACTACTCATCACTTTCTTTTCCTAATAATTATTACTTAGATCCTTTCTCCTCTCCGGCCTGCCTGTCTTTTTGTCGCTCTACTGATACAATGGCCCCTTCTCTGGCTGCTGCTGGTACTGCGGATACTCTTCTGCAAGCTGCACTTCATATGCATGTACATGTATTGTATTATTTTTCACTGTTTGAGGTATTTTCTTTTTACAGCCCTCCCCCCCCCCCCCCCCCTGCTGGTGACAGGTGAGAATTCAATCATTGAATGTGTATACTAACGTACCTATAGTAGCAACACTGCCCGAACAATGGTTGGTGTATGCGAGCGATTTTACTATCTTTCCTTCAGCTTGGGCAGCTCCCAAGTTTTCCTGTGCTTGGCACACAGCACGCGTCCACAGCGCTCTGGCGAATGTTCACAACACAGGTTCCTTCTATGTCGAGGCAGCCTCCAGACCGTCGCCATGCTGCAAGCGCCTCTGACCAGTTGCCATGTGGGAGAAGTAGGGTTGAACTGCATCAATGCTGAACTTGACTTGTGAGTACGACGCGAGTGCTCCGCACCACATTCTTAACATAAGGATAGTCATGTCACGGCCCGGAGGCGTGCAACTGACAAGTCAGTTGAGTTACAAAAAAAAGAGTTCCATTTCAGGTATCTTACGTTATACTATGCCAAGAGGCTTGTGCACACACACACACACACACACACACACACACACACACACACACACACACACACACACACACACACACACACACACACACACACACACACACACAGAGTATTATACATAATAATTATTGGTCAGTTTTGGTCATGGTATCATGGTCATGGCAGTTCCCTGCTGCTGGTCCATCATTATCTCCAGATTCTTCACAGCCACGGACTGCAGGCTTCTTTTCCCGAGCACAAACTTTCCGATCACAAAGCGCTCTATCAACGCGGCTGGTATGAAATAAGGCACAGCAAATCATAACGGTACTAGTGCGCGCCATGGCAAAAACGAAAGAAGCAAGTCTCATCAGTGTGAGGACAGATATCACGATGCACATTACTAACCACCACCATCACTGCTAGAGTTCAAACATAAATAGTACTACTACTAGAAAGGGCTATGTCACACAACACTCACACTTTATCGAAGAATGGAAGAACGCTTCAATGCTCAAGAGGGTAAGAATGAGAGAGATCAGTCAAGCCATTGACACCACACTGCACACGAGAATGGAGAAGCATTGGTTGAATCAAGAAACGGAGTAGATCCTACTATACGCCGGTACTCAAAGTCCTCGCACACGCTAGTGCGGCATGTAGGTACGCTGTGAATTGTAATCTCGGCGTGTGTGTGCACGTATATATTACTCAAGCTTGAGTCGGGCTAAGCGCACACACACATTAACGAACACATACACACACGCTCAACAAACATGTTCACCATTGCAGTTTCACGGCAGTGTAAGTCACACCACGCGAGGCAGTGCTTGAACGAGGAGCCACCTGCCAGTACCTCCACAGCATTACACTTCGGCGGCGTTGCCAGCAGCAGCTGCAGTAGCTTCCCTCTTCCTGAGATCTTCTTTCAGCCACGTCGGCAGAGGCACCTTTATCGAACCCAGGATTTTTGCCAAGTCCTTATTGTGCTCAGCATAGTACGCCTTGAGCAACGTGCGGGCACTGGGTTCCATTGGTGCATACGTGCGTCCTTTACCCTTGCCAAGGCACTTCAGCTTTCCATTGATCACTGGGCAGAAAAAGCCCTTCGTCGCCGATTTCCTGAAGAAGCAAAGAACAATGTGAATTGTACAGGTTTGTACACAGGCTGAGGTACTGTATAAGCAGAAGTATTCGTCTGGAATTTCATTTCCGTCTTTTTCGTCCACAGAGCTTTTGGAGTAAATTAAATGCCGGACTAATGTCGATTTGTCAACTTTTCTATACACTCTTATGATCCATGGACGAAATTTTCAACCGGACGAACTCCCTCTCTTTGGAGTTGGACGAAATTATTGACTGACGAAATGTTCTGCCTCTACAGTAAAAAAAAACACAGTGCACACAGAAGTCTACAGTGACACACACATACACACGTGCAATAGGACACACGCAAGACACAGTTCCTGCATGCAGACTAAGCACCAATGCAAGATAAAGCTCAGCTGGTTGATTGTCTTACTTAATATGCTGTGCGTAGTCGATGAACTGCACCCCGATGAATTTCTGCACAGCGTGCATCACCGGCACTGGATCTTTGACCAACTCCTCGCCGTCTATGATGTGTATCTGGGCAAGATACACACAAGTAAATAGGCACGTGCAAGACATGTCATGTTGGATGTGACACAGATCAGAACACGTCAAGGCACACAAGCACTGCTGAGCGACATGGCAGTGTTCTCCCCCGAAGAGCAGTTGCAGCACACCAGTTACAAGTACATGTATGTGTAACTGCATTGCAGCTTACAAGTAGGGGCGTGACTGTATTGCAGTGGATATGGCTGGCATGTGTTGCACGCCCACACTATAGAAAATGCATGAACACATTGAACAGCTACGCGCCTTGCTCTCCTTTCACAGTACGTTTGTGGGGAGGGGGGGAGGTGTCTGTCCTGAAAGTGCAGTGTTAATGAAATAGGATACATGAATAGAAATTACCGAGTACGACATATCCGCCAACAAGAGACACTTATGACAGAGAGCAACCATACACACCTGTTTGGGCCCAAAGAATGCCAGCCATCGTTTCAGATGGACTGCATACTGGCCTGGGAAGAGGCATCGTTGTTTCAGAACTGACTTAGCCCGATTGTGCCGGTGATTGCGCAACAGCAGCGTGCGGAACGACACCTGAGTTGTGATTGGGTCTTTGTGGGCCACTTGATGCTGCAGCAGCAGCAGTCACGCCAACACATAGCAATAGGAAGTAGATAAACACTGGTGCTTCGGATGTGTACAGTCACACAACGATAATCTTGCCAAAGGCAACTTGAGGTACTAACGATGGACTTGTGCGTGCCAAGACACAAACAACAACAACACCAACAACAACAACTCTGTACAGAATGTTGCTCTCAACATTCCTACCACACACGCACACAGTCTACACACAAAGGTGTGAGATAGATATGTATGCATGTACGTGTTGAGAACGGGATACACCCGCATGCATGTATAAACGTGCACAAGCCACCGTGCACACAGGGTACTTGACAGGAGGTACTGACCTGCCACCAGGAGTACGCTCTCTTGACCGGATCAACCAGTATCACAATGACCTTGACGGAGGGCATCAGACGCCAGGCGCGCAGCGGTGACATGTAGCTGTCGAAGTACGTAGCGCTCTTCTCAACGATGAAGTGAGCCGGCTTCTCGATGGTATCACTGGCATTGTACGTGATGGTGAGGTTCGTGGCAGTGTTGACCAATGGCATGTGCTGCATGTACCTGAGTAGTACACAGCAGGGCAGGAGGGGACCACAGTGTGAACACCACAGCAACAGTAGCAGCCAGTGTACTGCCGCAGTCGTCAGCACAACATGTACATCTACATAATATACTAGTATGCAGGCTAGGCGTGTACAGTGCAGTAGTAGTACAGTGCGTATCGGTTATAGTGTGGTCGTATACAAGAATATACTGCTTACAAGAATGAACACTCATTTTTTCACAATCATAACACATATTTTATGTGTATATTTATTCTTACAAGCAGTATTATCGCATAGTAGAATATATCGGCCCTAAGAATGGATTTTGTGTAGCAAAATATTCCAGATTAGTGCAAAGTGTATCGCCTGTAGTAATAACATCTGTGCTCTGTGCATACTCAATACAATAATATTCAACCCAAAAAGAGAGTCATGTCCAAGGGAGCATTGGAGAATCACTTTTTCTGTCCAGTCGGACTCTTTCTTCCGACTTCTCTCGTATCCGCTGCACCACAGTCGCCTAGCATGACCGCGAGTCTGATTGATCCGTGTGTATCATGTGTACGTGTCCACATGCCAAACGTGCGCGCATAATGATATGTCACACGTGCATATGATATGTCACACGTGATTTATCGTGTGTAAGAAATATCGGCAATAAGAATCAAATGTCGTTTTTCAAACACCTACGCTATAACCGATACCTACTGTATCTTGTATTTTCAAGCCAAGGAAGAAGCAAAGTCCCCAGCTTGTCAGCCACTGCAAGTCACAATGCATTCAATATTCTGGACAACAACATCATTCTTCGCTGCCCTCCTCACCAGTCCAGGCCGAGGAGATAGTTGGCATCGTTGCTGAAGAACTGCATCTCCTCAAAGTGCTTCGGTGTATTGCGGTTGCGCGAGATCTTCGGATGCAGCGTCATGAAGTCCAGCAGTGCCGTCGTGCCAGTCTTCTGCGGCCCAACCACTAGTACGTTGGGTAGGTTGAAGCAACGACGCTTCTCCTCAGACCAGATGGCGTAGTGCCTGGGATCTCTGCATGGGTCCTGCAAGGCACGCGGTTAAAAATCCAGAGAAGAGAGCATAGCACATGCTTGGAGCTGCCAAAAGTACTGGAATGGTTCGTGAGCAGAGATAATGCACCGCATTGTTCTCGTTTAAAGAAAGTCATCTCAAAATCTAGTATTCCAAATCCGCTCAGACAATTGTAAGAGATGTTTTATCTTTTCTCTATCACATGGTTACTGATACCGTGGTGGTTGATATCGTCGTGGATTGACCAATCTCTCAACTCGTACTGCTGTTTTTCACTACGACTACAATGTAGTATTCGCCACCTCCACAGCAGCAACCTTACCAGCCAGAACGGCATGGCCTCGTCCAGGTGCTGCTCAAAGTATTCGCTGACAGCCTCGTGCGGCGGTGAGTAGGACAGTTCCAGGTTGGTCCAGCGCTGGATGTAGTCCACCACCGCCTTCACAACGTAATTGCCCAGGCGGTCATGACCGTAGTTTGACACGTGAGTCATGAAGATGCAGATCTGCAGGACAGAGAGACACACAGGCACAGAGAAAGAGAGAGAGACACACACACACACACGGCGACGGCAACACGGTGATAAGAACACAGAGTTCAGCGCAAGCAGTGCCAAGCACACCAGCAAGGTCAATGTGGTCAAATTCAGTATTTGTTTGCAAAGCACCATTGTAGTGAGCCTGGTCTAGTGCAATGTCTGGCACAAAGTGTAAACGGCAACTGGCAAACTGTTCGTGTACCCTGTGGTGTACTGGGGGGGGGGGGGGGGGGTAATTCTATGATATTATTACTTGTATTGTCGTGTACAGTACGCTAGTGCAGGCATTCACATGACCGGGGCAGGCATCCTCGTGACCGGGGCAGGCATTCTCGTGACCGGGGCAGGCATCCTCGTGACCGGGGCAGGCATTCACATGCACAATACAGGGATCCACGCAGCAGCATGCGATACAGCTTCATGGGATATCAGGCTGCACTGATAAGCCATTTATGGAAAGAAAGTAGGTGGCAACAAACCAGAAAGAAGTGACAAACTGCCCATATATTTAAAGGATGGAATGTTTACATAAAGTGATAATGCATTCAAGATGTCTGACATCACTTGGATAACTTCTAAGCAATTGGTGTACTCTCGAGGTACACTTCAATACACACAATATTCCGCGTTTTCTCTTACCGTGTTGTGTAGAATGCTCTCAAACATGTCCCCGCCTTCCGCAGTCTCTTGCAGTCGCTGTATGCCGCCAGGGTAGTCCTGGCGCTTGAACGTGTGCGTGTACAAGCCACATACTTGCCGAGGCACTACCTGTGTGTGCGTGTGTGTGGGTGTTTGTGAGGAAGAGAGAGAGAGAGGGGGGGGGGGGGGAGAAAGAGAAGTTGAGAAAACAATGTTAAAAGGACTACGAAGACAAAAGGATAGCAAAACCCTCCACGCCGCGCAAGTGCATTTGGGTTGTCAGTATTATGTGTGATGGCCCAGGCTCGGCCGGGTTCCTCATGCAACACAGCGAAAGCACAATGCCTGTACAGTCTGAGTGCAGTGCCAACATTCATTCATGAATTCCCACAATTGTGAGCTTGTGTCGTGTTGTACATCAATATTTGCGGTATTGCACAATCATGATCGCATCGCGACTTGAAAGACATTCCTCTCGTGCCAGCGCTGCTGGAAAACTGGTGTAGATGCCAGTTCTGTCGCCACACGTGATCAGGCCTCTTGCAGCAGAACTGAAATTATATCATCGGCCTCTAAAGGCCCTGTACGACAGTCCAACTGGCAACCCTACCTTAATCCCTCTGTATATGAATCCGCGGCGCTTATATCCAGGCTTCAAGTGCATGTACTCTTCGGTGGACGTTGTTTTGACACCCCACACCTCTCTCCAGGCCGTGTACAGGGGCTCGTGGACTGGGTAGACACCGGAGTGCTTTGGAGAAATGGCGTACGCACCACTCACTGGTATCTTGTTGGTCTACCATGCCAAGGTGAACATCAAACGCACAGACACGTACATACATACACACACACACACACACACACCACACACACACACACACACACACACACACACACACACACACACACACACACACATATCATTTATACATACACACAAACACATACACACGTGTGTGTGTGTGTGTGTGTGTGTGTGTGTGTGTGTGTGTGTGTGTGTGTGTGTGTGTGTGTGTGTGTGTGTGTGGTGTGTGTGTGTGATCAAATATCAGGTTCTGTTGAACAATCTCACACAACCAAGATGTGTGCTGGGAATCTTGATCATCATTCAAGTACAACTTGTTACTGTCTTCATCTTAGCGTACATGTCAGTGCTTACCTCTGCAAACTCCTTGTTCGCCTTCATATGCCTGATCATCTCCGAAACATTCCATGTCCTGTGTGGTGCAATGTGCGTGTACGTGTGTGGAAACCAGTAAAAGTGCTGCGCCAGCTCGACGAAATGGTGATCACCTTTTGCCTCCCATGGTGTCCCCTGCGCAAACTTGGAGCCGACAAAGCCAAGGTTGAACGTGAAGCGCGGGACTTGTTTTCTCACTTCCTCTTGCGTCTTGACAAGTTGCTGTTGGGAGAGGGAGGGAGAGAAAGAGAGAGAGAGAGAGAGAGAGAGAGAGAGAGAGAGAGAGAGAGAGAGAGAGAGAGAGAGAGAGAGAGAGAGAGAGAGAGAGAGAGAGAGAGAGAGAGAGAGGGAGAGAGAGAGAGAGGGAGAGAGAGAGAGAGAAAGAGAGAGAGAGAGGGAGGGAGAGAGAAAGAGAGAGAGTATGTGTGTGTGTGTGTGTGATACCAGGCTAAAATTAGTGGCGGTCATTTCATCAGCCTTGCAAGCTGTTGAATGGTGTAATCTCAGCACAAGTTGCTATGCCTAACATAGCTGTTCGCTATCATTGCTTCCGCGATGGGCATGTGTGTGTGTGTGTGTGTGTGTGTGTGTGTGTGTGTGTGTGTGTGTGTGTGTGTGTGTGTGTGTGTGTGTGTGTGTGTGTGTGTGTGTGTGTGCATGCACGCGTGTGTGAGAGAGCAAACAAGCATAACTACACGAATGCATCTGGATTAGGAAATAGTCCGACAGTACACGCCATGATTTGTCATCAATTGAAACCCCATTCCTGTCCTTGGACCAGACATACAGCTTCCACCACCCTCTAGTACAACCATCATGGCCATGGCCATGGTATTTAACCGGTCCTCTTGCTGCAGCGTAACAAGAGACATTGAACTTTCCCCGTGAAATTCACACCAGCGCTGCACAGCCTGTACACAAATGCTTGTGACACGCATCGGGCAGAGGGCTCCATGCAGCCAGCCATTGCTGCAAGCTGACCGACTATTCACTGAATGAATCCGGACATGCACTGCATACCTCAACATCATCGGGACTCATCTTGGTTCCCAGCGGAGCGACAAATATGTCGTCAATGTCCACGAGAAATCGGCGAGCGAGTGGCAGTCCCAGGGTGGCCGGAGACAGATGGCTAACAGCATCCAGGAACAAGGCCTTGTGCAGCCAGAGGTACATGCCCGGGTGCTGGCAGAAGAGCACACGACGAATGCCGTCCACACGCCCAGTGTCCAGCAAGGAGATGCGCCACTCGGTGCTATCGGCGCCATCCGGCAGCCTGGCGTACTCCACTGGATCAAAGGCGGACGTGTTGCCCTCAAACGCACACCAGTCGCCACCAGACACGCTGGTCAGCATCTCGCCGCCATCGCGGACAATCCGCAGCATTGGCGAGCGGCCGTTCACTCTCAACACCATGCTGACGTTCCGCGTGGTATCCACCAGCGGGCGCACGGTGACCTGCTTGAAAACAAACGGGTAGGCAGGCGACACGAACGCCACCATGCCAACACCGTAGAGGCGGCAGTACGAATCCAGATCCTCCCGTTTCGCATCCGGCGCGTCAGTGTACAGCGACCAGTTCTCGAATATAATCACACTGTACCGTCCCTGCGGCTCTGCGCCCATGCTGGGTGCCTGTGGAAAGAACGAATCCGGACTGGCGCTGCCGCGGCCGATTTCAAAGCGTATGCGATGCTTGCCGAGGAGCTCGCGCATATCGGCCAGCGAGAGAGAGAAGAACGGCTCTTTGCACAGGACCAGCAGGGCGATTGGCTCCACACCAACGCCAACGGTCATGCCCCGCACAATGTCACTGCCAAACCGGTCGCGTTCTGCCGTTTTCTTGGTCGCCCGAGGTAGCGTGCCCGGCAAGCGACGTGACGGTAGACGCACAGTGTGAACAGGGGATTTACCTCGTTCATTATGCGGATCGGGTTGAAACGCCACGTCTCGCTGGATGTGCTTCGGGCTCTTGACAGGTAAAAGGCCAGGTTTGTGGATGACCTGTATCAAGGGCTTCTGATCATCACTGGGCATGCCGCGTGGACCACCACCACCAGGCCAGTCTGCATTACCATCTTGCACACGGCGGCCTACCTGCACACCACCCCGGCTGTCGACGTCCTGCCCGAACCAATCTTCAGTCGTGTGCACTGACTCTGCAGAGACGCTGGTCAAGGCTCCCTGTGAAGATCGCAAGTTGTTTTTAGATCCTGGATTACGGCCATCGGCACGCCGTCCCGCCGTGCCATGCTTGTCCAGCAGAACATGCGAAAAGAATATCCAGGCGGCTGCGAGAGCAGCTACGGTCAAAATGCGCTTCACCGTCTGCTTTCTGCATAGCAAAACTCGAATGGTAGTATCGAACGTTCGTGCCAGAATGCTCATGGTCCCGCTGCCGCCATTCTCACACTAAACCAGCGCCAAGGTCCACTTGAGACTCCATCGAGGAAGGTGTCGCACCGGTGGTATTATGACTCTGAGCAGGAGCTGAAATTTGTGACTGCGTTCTCATCTGACTCAGGGCACTAGTGCAGTTATGTACAGCCCCTAGCGATAGCAAATGCGTTCACAATGAATTACAATAACGATCTTGTCATTGACGGTCGCCCGGTCTCTGCAGATCACAGCTCAGAATCATAGTAGGTCAAACGTCGCGAAATATTACTCAGCAACAACTACTACTAGAACTAACTGTTACTTAGAGGACTACTAATAGTAATACTAGTACTAGCAATCGCCAAAGACCATGATGACTATTAATTTTATTGTAGCCAAGTATTGAAGTAAGAAGTCGCATACGTACATAAATACATGCGCATCAGAAAAACAACGAGTGCATGTAGCATTCTCGATTACTGATTCGTGGCGAATCTTTTTTATTGCAAGGACCAACTACACTACAGTACTAGTACAGTACATCAGTACACGGTGACTCCACGCATGTAACAAGGTGGAGGACACCGTGTTCATGTTAGGAAACACTAATCACTACATGACTGTAATGCCATACGTAGTATGAGCCTTCCTTGATCCAGCACCGAAAACCCCATTGATTCGGATCGGTGAAACTGACGTGATAAGACTGGACGTGTTGCCTGTGGCCTGTAGGATAATGCCGACAGCTGCGAGCACGTGTCACTGCTTGGTCGACTGGAGTGGAGGATGGACCTTCACTGCTTCAGTGAGTCAGGTGAAAGATGCGAGCATCCTCCGTGTCCAACCTCCTTCCGACCTTGCCCAACCTCCTGTCTATCCACCTACAAACAGACTGTGAGTCTGTGCCACGCGCCAGTGCCGGTGCCAGTGGCTCCATATCCCATGCACGCGCCATGGCCATAGCCTATAGGCGCTAGGCATGCGCCATATAGCAAGAGTACATACCGTATTTTCCCCAATACATTTTTTTAATGTACAATGTGAAGAAGAGGTACTAGGTTGGTGCGACTTCGGCGATAATAGGGGAAGAGTGTGTCGCTCCCTACATGGGAGCTCGCGGTTTTCCTGCCGACTTGGAAACAGGAAAACCGCGAGCTCCCATGTAGGGAGCAACACGCTCTTCCCCTACTATCGCCGAAGTCGCACCAACCTCTTCTTCACATTGTTGTCCCCAGCGCGGGCTTGCGAATTAGATGGTTTGGAGGCAACAGCGTTGTGAATGACCGAGGGTCCTCTGCGTCTGTTCTCACCGTCCAGGAGCGATAACTGACTCACGCTGCTATCTGGTGTTCACGAGGTGTTTGTCGCGCTGGAAACGAAGTGTCTCTGTAAGTTTGTATCCCTGGTGATGTTTGTGCCTGGACAGCACTATAATTGGTGCTCTTCAGGCACAATCTTCCTCAGCCAACTCAAGCTCAACTGATGAGGGGTGAATTCCCCGAAACACTGTGTATTGAGCAGGGAGTGGTGCTTTCTTGCAGGTTTGCCGAGTGGACGGTTCGATGGACTTCTCGTGTGCTCTGGATGGCAGTGGTGAGTCAGTCAAGTGAGAGTTCAAGTCGGCAGGAAAACCGCGAGCTCCCATGTAGGGAGCAACACACTCTTCCAATAAATGTACAGTACTTTTACTTTTTCAAAGGTGGTCAGACCTGTAAAGTTTGCACGTCCGCGTTACCTGACCTTTGACCTTTGACGCCCATCGCCGGAGGCGATGATAGCAATGCTACGGCAGAAGCCATAGCAACTTGTGCTGGGATTACACCATTCAACAGCTTGCAAGGCTGAAGAATTGACCGTCACTATTCAGCCTGGTCTACACCATACAGCTATTTGAAGTGACTTTTTCTGGCCAGTGAATCCCTTTTTTGGTCTTTTAAAGGGGCACTCCGGCTTCATTTTCGACGCCGAGTTTTCGATGCCAAGCCGAAGGTTGGTGAAAGAGAAGACCCCTCGAACAAGAATGAGTCTCCAGAAGCGATCGAGTCGAGCAGGAAGACGACTTTTGAATTTCGCCGAGCGAGCGCTGATGACGTAATGAGGGATTAGCTTGCCAGTGGAAATGCATCTGCGCACATACATTTCACACACTTTTGGCCAATTTTCAATCGAAGAGGAGGTTGTTTTCTATGTTCTTTCAACGTCCTGAGCGATTCCGTCTTCTATGCCCTCCCAGGTACCCTGAAGGTCCTCCAGAGGAGAATTTATCTTCAGCAAAGCGTTGTTGATCCGCTAAATTCGTCTCGAGACATATTCACCCAGTGCTGTGCTGATAAATGTAGAATGTTGAATCTGTGATAATTGTCGACAATGGAGAGAGAGAGGTTGATAGCCGCTGTCGCAGGGAGAGTGAAGCTGCTGGAAGTAACAACGGGGAGCCCGTTTGTATCACCTGAACAACCAGACTTCAAAGCAGCTTGACCAAATCGGAGGGTGCCTCGTTGCTTATCGTGAATATTACACCGACATGAATTACTACGATTACAAGTATACTGGTGAGTTTTTATCTTGTTTTGTTCGTATGCTAGTGCCCTGGCCTGGAGTTGTCGTTAGCAAATTCCTATTCCCTGGCGTTTTCTAAACGTTCCGTGTAGTACTGAATACGTGATCAAGTATTCCGATTTGGGTAGAGGTGGAATTTGGATATGCATTTTATAAAAAAATTCTCCAAATAGAGCGTTTGTAGAGAAATGGTTGCCCAAATACAACAAAATTGATTTTGCAGTTCTACAACTTGTACTGAAATCCAGTCAAAGTAAAAATGATTCTTCATGACAGTTGGGGTCAATGAAATCTGATCCAGGCATAACGAATGGTGACGCCTGTCACCCCGGGAACGAATGCCCATTTGGTGGGGGATACCAAAGTACTCGAAAGTGGTGCGTGTTTCAATGTGGCATTTGGAAGTTTTTTATGATCTCTGGTCAATGCAACATACGATAGCCATCATGAATTGCAGGCCTCGAACGCAACTCAGACCAGAATTGGCAGTTCCCTAAGTTAGATGCTTTATAATTCCATGGTCCTAGCTGTAGTTATAGAGGTTTTTTGCTCATTATTCTCATAGTCGATAGGTTTATACTGATGGCCACAAACAACTGCAGTTCAAACTTCACTGATGTGTTTATGAGCTGAGAGATTTCTCTCCACTATTTCTGTTGTGCACACAGGTCTGTCCAATATGCATGGGTATGGTATCTGCTCTGAGAAGGGAATCGCTGGAGCCACAGTCCAACTAGACCGGCTTTCAAGAAACAGAGAGGAGCCATCTTTGCAAGCTGACACCTGATGTGTATCGACAGAATTCTCACGAGATACCTTACGGACTACGTCTGGTGTATACTTCATAGTACTCCTTCGACTACTGTCTAGAATCAAGTCGACTGAAACAAGTTCAAACAACGCTGGCTTCAAACGAGCCGTCGATTAGACAAACAAAACATTCTCTCATAATACTAGAGCACTCTGACAACTCCCGACCTATTCCTAACGATTGCCACCGCTTATAAATATGTAGAGTGCTGATTGGAATGTGCTCATAATCTCAACAATCCAGTGCTATAATTATTTGAACAATGTGTTAGAAATTATTCCACTTTTCCTTCCATAAATGTTGTATCCACATATAATCCACAGTGCTGCACAGCTTCAGAGTTCTCAGGGTATCAAACAAAATTATTTCAAATACAGTGAAATTGTTCGTGGACATTATAGCGTAACTTGTAGTTCCCTGGTCCTTTTCTTTGCAATAAATTAATCCTTTGCTCTCTACCCGCCGGCGAGTCCAACAGTGAAATTGTTAGTTCATATTTATAATGTGGGTATGTAGGGGGGGGGGGTGAACATTTTTCTATATAAGAGACCTGCAACTGTAATACCACAGTACAGTAGCCGGCAAATACATGTATGTAGAAAACAGAAATGCATGTTCCCATCATTGTACATGGACGGGCACAGCAGGCCGAAGCTATCAGCCAGAACAGGATTTACAATCACCTAGAGATACTTGAGCTATTCCAGTATTCTCCGTGAGCTGTCCCATTCCACAATGGTTCATGCCACCATTATTTCTGGTAGTAACCATGTGCATAATTCCAAGACCATCTCGGTTCTTCAGCAATTTGTGCCACGCAAAAGACAATGCTTGACTCGGTCACTGGGGCTGTCAAACTTCCCATCACGACTTCAATTTCTCATCTGTTTCAAGTATATGTACTGCCATGACTTATTATTATTATTATTTGAGGGATTCCCCAAAGGCCGAAGCCTAAATCAAGGGGGTCTCCGAGATGCTTCATCCACAGCTGGGCGAAGATTGTGGCGTTGAATTCCATAGCGCACCTTCTTGCTGCCATGCAGGAGTATGTTGAGAGAAGTGAACATATTTTTACTAAAAAACAACAGCCACTGAAGAGGATAGAAATAGCCTTGGGTGAATTTCCTGCAGGTAAAACGTTGTTGGTAGGTCTACTGGTCCGTCTCCATATCGTCAAGTTCAGAAATCACCTGTACTACACTACACAATCTTGTAGAAGGTATCCTGATCGAATAATTTCTGGTCATAAAATTCACTAAACTGAGGGCGAGACAAATAGTCAGTACTCCCCGATTCCGTCAAGCTGCTTTGAAGTCTGGATGCTCATGTGATGCTAACAAGCTCCCCGTCGTTACTTCCAGCAGCTTCACTTTCCCTGCGACAGCGGCTATCAACCTCTCTCTCCATCGTCGACAATTATCACAGATTCAATATTCTACATTTATCAGCACTGCACTGGTTGAATATGTCTCGAGACGAATTTAGCGGATCAACAACGCTTTGCTGGAGATAAATTCTCCTCTGGAGGACCTTCAGGATACCTGGAAGGGTATAGAAGACGGGATCGCTCATGACGTTGAAAGAACATAGAAAACAACCTCCTCTTCGATTGAAAATTGGCCAAAAAGTATGTGAAATGTATGTGCGCAGATGCATTTCCACTGGCAAGCTAATCCCTCATTACGTCATCAGCGCTCGCTCGGCGAAATTCAAAAGTCGTCTTCCTGCTCGACTCGATCGCTTCTGGAGACTCGTTCTTGTTCGAGGGGTCTTCTCTTTCACCAACCTTCGTCTTGGCATCGAAAACTCGGCGTCGAAAATGAAGCCGGAGTGCCCCTTTAATTTTTTTTCCCACACACACATCACACCACATACTCCGCGTTACCACCGGCTATACAATTGTATTGAGAAACACAACCAGCGAAGTTTCGCATGTGCCGGGCCATCACCATGCCTGTGATACCAGGGTGGCAGATGCAGCTCCTAACGAGGGTGAGGTGGTAAGTCTCACAACCAATGCCCGACAAGGGGGCTAACCTCATTAGTTGCATCCATGTTACCCTCACTCCGAGTAGTGAGTGCCCAGTTGACCGTGGGTGTCGGCTCCCTGCTCCCAGCGTGGGTCTCGAACTCGGGACCTTGTGATTCGCAGGCAAGCCCACAACCACTCGGCCACAGCGCTGGTACCCAGACCTGTACTACTGCATAATCATTGGGAGAATGTCCTACAACATTTTGTAGAAACATGTTGTTGGTTGACAGCATCATGATTCATGTAACAAGGTGGAGGACACGGTGTTCGGAAAGAGTAACCTAACTGACCTTTCTACAAGACTTAGTACAACCATCCGCTCATAACTGGTGCTAGCCATGGAATGTGCATGTATCACACTGGCTTGCTATCAGTGGATCCAAATTATTATGTTGACTCTCTTTTACAAGTAGCATTATAGATACATGTATATGCGGCGATATGCCCCCAGAACTCTTTCTCTCTCTATACTTATATCTGTCCACCTCTCTCTCTCTCTCTCTCTCTCTCTCTCTCTCTCTCTCTCTCTCTCTCTCTCTCTCTCTCTCTCTCTCTCTCTCTCTCTCTCTCTCTCTCTCTCTCTCTCCTCCCTCCCTCCCTCCCTCCCTCCCTCCCTTCCTCCCTCCCTCCCTCTCTCTCTCTCTCTCTCTCTCTCTCTCTCTCTCTCTCTCTCTCTCTCTCTCTCTCTCTCTCTCTCTCTCTCTCCTCTCTCTTCCCCCCCCCCTCTCTCTCCAGTTATGTAGCAATGCCAATGATGGTACTCGTGACGAACGCCATGTAGCCAGAACGTCTTGCCTCTACTGCTAAAAATGCCGAGCCTGTCAGTGTCAAGTAGAGTTTGTCAACATAAGTATTGTCATTCCATAAACCTACTTGACTGTATAGTGTGTGTGTGTGTGTGTCTATGGCCGGTCTGGGGGGTCATACATGTACATGATGTACCCGTCGGCATACAAGAATAATACGCACAAAGAGACAGGTGCGCACTCTGTTATTTTACTTTACTCTGTCACTGCCACATGTTCAGTTTGGCCAGGTAGTATTATCCAGCCACGGCTTTCCCGGTATTACGTTATATCCCTCCAAGGGCATAACGGCCAGCTGCTCCCAGGACATGTTTTATCCGATCTCCAGCCAAAGCCTTTACTTGGAGCTCAGGCTCCCAGGGCAATCACATGTGCTCTCCGATGTCCAGCCGAAGTCTTGGAGTTGGAGCGTTGGAGTCACTGTTTCACCGAGCAGCTGTCTTCGTCCATTACCAGTCGTCGGCGAAATTTGACTTTGGCTCTCAGAAGTGGTAGCACAAGCTTCTGCTAACCACCGTTCTGAGGCGTACTAATACATGTACTAGTAATAGTGCGTCGGACCAGAATCAATGACCCAATGAAGCAGGCGCACCTCGCTGAACGCCCTGCAATGCGCACTTGGGTGACGAGATCATGCTCGTGACTGGACCTTTCAGACTTCCCCACTTTCTGCCATGTAGCACTCCAACTCCAAGCTCCGCCAATGGTCGTGCTCATATCTTCTCTAGGCTCGCTCGCGGCCGAGCGCTATTCAAATTGGTATTTGGATGAAGAAGACCACTCCGCTATGCCCAACTTCCTTGCAACCGCCTCGGAAGCATCGGTTTTACCGCATTATTTCGGCCGGAGATAAGTGAAACTCCTCAGACCTGAATAGCGGCGGTGTGCCTTCCCGCTGCGTGGGTCCGTGTACCTCATGCAGTTCGCAGTCCTCCGGAGCGCTCTGGACCCAGCTACAAGTAGGGGCGGCTTTCTGCGCAGACCACTGGCATGCGCGCGTGTGCCGCACTGCGTCAGCCAAGGTCTCCGGGTGCTGCTGCCTCACAGCCTTTGAACAGTGTGAACTACAGTAAGATCGGGCGCCGAAGAACGCAGGGGCTGGAGCGCAGCCTAGGAAAGTTCTTAAATTTTTGATTCTAGCCAGACCGTTCTTATTCACACGCGCGCGGGTAGTCGAGTGACGACGTCATGACGTTTGTCATGTACATGTACATGTACAATCATGTACATGTAGTGCAATGTAGTACTTCTAAACTAGTGGGTGTCGTAAATGGGAATGACTGTACATGTAGCAGTTACTGTTTACACGTGTACATGACATGTACTCACCTCCTATACATGTACAGTGTACATTGTATGATCAGTTTAAATTAAATACTGCACTCATGTGGAAATTCCAAATTTTAAAAGTGTTCTTAAATCTGATGCTAGCCTGGACTGTTCTTAAATTTTGCCGGTTTTCCAGCCTGGGTGTTCTTCGGCGAGGTGTTCTTCGGCGCCCGATCTTACTGTAGCGGGTCAGCCATGGCCTCCGTGAAAAGTAACGCCTTGGTCAGCTCATCCAATCGAAAGGCCGGCAGACAGAGAGAGGTATCCTCCGCAATAATTATAGTATTCAAAGCTAATAGTACCCGTTTGTCTTGCTCGGACCACCCGTCCCCTCTTCATCAGGGTTATCTTTAGACGCGCCTTTGAGCTTCAGGTTTAACCAGGGAGTTGTACAGACGGCTGACCCTTTTTGTAGGCTACAGCATACAACCTTTCTTTCTTTTTTCTTTTTCTTTTTACAAAGACCACTTAAATGCCAAACATGAGATGCAGCTAGGGGAAGCACGCACAACCTGAATCTTGGCAGTGGTTGTGAGGTTTAGGGAGCTCCGCCGACCTAGGGTCTCGACTTCATGGCCACCTAGACGCACCAAGAGTGGGTGGGGGAGGGAGAGGAGAGGAGAGGAGAGGAGAGAGAGAGAGAGAGAGAGAGAAAGAGAGTAAGTTACATTTATAAAGACAGGTAAGTCTAACAAATGAGGACTGAGACCTCTACAACAGGGTTTTTACGCCTGAAAGCAGGTGCATGATTTAACAAGCAGGTTGTCAGTCTAGATTTTATGCGCAGATGGAGAAAAAGCGCAGAATTTTTGTAATGAGATGAAAAGCAGAAATAATAAGAAAAGATGAAATGAAAGCCTGCTCACAACCCCGCCCAGCCTTGCGAACTGGGTATGGAAGATTAAGAACCCGGTTCAACGCTCGAGCAAGCGCTCTCCACTCAAGGTGTTCACAGCAGCTGATAGGAACTCATAATTATGGGGAAATTATAGAAAAGAAATAATAAGATAAAGAGAATAAATTTCAACGCACCTCAATAAACGGAGCCCCACATACAGTGTGAGAGAGAGAGAGAGAGAGAGAGAGAGAGAGAGAGAGAGAGAGAGAGAGAGAGAGAGAGAGAGAGAGAGAGAGAGAGAGAGAGAGAGAGAGAGAGAGAGAGAGAGAGAGAGAGAGAGAGAGAGAGAGAGAGAGAGAGAGAGAGAGAGAGAGGGGGGGGGGGAGGGAGGGGAGATACAGAGATACAGAGAGGGAAGCAGTGAGGTTAGGGGCATCGGGAAATGGATTGCTAGCAGTGGTGACTGTTGTGCGTGGTGGGCACATCAACATGATCAACGTGTGGTTGGGGGTAGCAGCGAAGAACAAATTGCTATGTAATTTGGTGTGAACTCTTTCTGCATGATATACGGTTGTGAAACACATGCATAAATTGATGGGTGAAAGTGAGAACCGTCAGTCGTCACACAATATGACTGCTCAGAAATGGCCAAGGTACCGCCAACTACCAATCCACTCTGAATGTCCTGGGTTGCTAGGAAAGAAAACAGTGCTACTCTCGACAGCACTGATAAAATAGTACTATTGTTCCTCATCTGTCAACTTTCTAGCAGAAAGGTCCGTGAAGTCGACATTCCTGCACGCATCACTCGAAGTCGCGAAGGCCTAGCGCCAACCGAGGGATTGACGTACAGTCAGAGAACCGGCAGTCGTCTTCATTCATTCGTTGTCCCATCGACTACTAGTACACTGTACTCCGTAGACCATGGTATGGTAGACCTACTCGTTTCAATACAATCATGTATAGAAGTGCAGTGTGCAAACAAGGACAGTCTAGTCTACTGTCTTCCTTTACTTTTGCCACGTCGGCCATATGCATGCCACGTGGGCCATATGCATCGATGGTGCTTATACTAGTTATCAGTGGTTATACGAGCTACCTAAATGCTCACTCGTCATCTGGGTTCGAGGAGTCGTAAGAGCTCTGCGCTGCTGATCCGAAGAACTGGAAAGCCGAATGAGCTCGTACAATAATAATATGTATAGGTCATAATGCTTTACCGGTACACGTGTCCTTAGGCTTAGGTTGGTCGAGTCGAGTCGAGTGGAAGCCGTCGCCTTCCGAGTGGGATTTGTCTCGTAGACCTACGTCTGGTCGTTTCGTCGCAAAGTGCGAGAGGTCTGATGCATTCGTAGATCGATAGCTAAGGGTCTCTAATCATGGATGCCATTTCGCAGATCATCCAAGATCAGTCCGGCGGGGACCCTGCTCTGAAACCCAATCTGCAACTTTGCATCGATCCGAGCACCTTGCCAGACGTGGAGGAGAGCGAAGTGGACCGCACTCCGGTCACCGACGCCTTGCGGGAGCTGGAAGGCTCGCACCGTCCGCCCGCCAGTGAACTGGACGTGCCCATCCGATTGAGAGACGTGCTGCCTTCCCAAGTCAAGAAGCTCTTCCCCGAAGGCTTGGCGGGAGGTAACGTGACCATAAAGAGGTCGTTTGGCGGGCGAGTCGCTCCGAACTACATGTTCGAGGTAGATTTCCGGCAGGACAGATCTGAGGAGCGCATCGAAAGGCTGCGGCCGCCCAGTATCGACAAGGACGCCCACTACACCGAGCTACGGTCGCACGTCGAGTTCGAGCCAAGCACACGTCTACCGTCGGAGCACTCCAAGCGCTGCTTGGAATGCATATTCAAGGTAAAGCCCATGACTGTCTTATCCACGGATGCACTGTCCACATACTAGCGTTACGTAGCCCTTACGTTGATGAATGAAAGTACAAGTTTTTGAATGTGCAATCAACAGAGCATTGTACTGAAAGGCCAGTCCTACCTCGCTTATCCGGACACACTTGGCCAGAGCCCCTTGGAGGCATGTCTGGATTGTGGATTATGAAAGGAGCACGACCAGTAGAGTACCGTTAAGCAGGGAGTAGTACAATACCATTATTGTATTACTCCCTGCTGCCAGATACCACAGGAGCGCCCCAGCATTTGGACCCCTCCGTGGACGTGTTGTGGAGGCGAGTCCTGTCTGTACATGTAGGTCACATGACATATTATACAAAAGCGCATTGTACACCGTGAACGGCAAATCAGCATGCACGTCACCCTTCTAGTGGTCGTGAGGTCCACATGAATCGCAATGAGCCATGGAGTCGTAAAATACCGGTGTTTTACGACTCCCTGCACCGAGCCATGCATGACCCTACCCTGTAGTGATTGCCCTCTTTTACGCGCAAACAGTCACACGAAATAGTACAATCATGATGGAAGACGTAGATCAGAGTATTATTGAAAAAAATCAATGTCGAAATATCTCAAAGACCGTCTTGCGTGAAGTGGCCAGTATTGTTACAAGGTACAGTACACACATGCAGCTAGTAACCCGTATCATGGTTATTGACCACACCCCATTTAGATCTGGCCCTCAACCACCGGCAGCCCGACTCTACTACACTCATCACTGAGCCGGGTTCTGACATCGTATGATCATAGGCATAGGGCTTGTTGAATGTACGTACTGTACTGTCCGGGTTAGCTGACAACGCCGGTGTGCCTAGGGATTGAGGCTGACTGCTTAGCTGATCTCCCACCCCAAAGCAGTAATCACACTCATCCCTGGGTTCTGTACGTGTTCTCTGCTGTGTACCTGTAGAAGAAGGATCGGGCGCAGATCAAAGCGGCTCTACAGCGATTGTTCCTACGCGATTCTTTCAGGCGTGCAGCCGGCCGTTTCCACTGCATGCTGCAATATCACTTTGTCGCCACTTGCCTTGCATTCCTGTGCGACTGGCAGACATTCAAGGAGTATAGCACACAGTTCCGGGATCCCATCGACCTGCGCGCATTCCTGGTCAGTGCCGACATTCTGCCATTCTTGCAGCAGATGGTGAACAACCAGACTCCAACGCACATGGAGGTCGACGAAGAGGTGCCGTGGCAGTGGTACACAGTTCGAAGCTATGCCCTATTGCTGCTGATGATATTTGTATCACCGGCGCGCAAGCAGCTGGATCGCGCTCGCTCCGACAAAGAGGTCGCGAATGCGTTGAAGGCGGCCAAGCAGATCTGCAAGGGCGGTGTGATACACAGCCTCATGCCAATGCTGGGCAACAACATGCTAAGCGTGATGGAGACAAGCTATGCAGTGACGCTCATTCAGCACCTCTGTGACACGGTGCACGACGGCCTGCATGATGTGCTTATCAGCAATGGAATTCGCTACTTCAGCCGTCTGTTCACATCAGGCCGCTTGGGCAGAAAAGTGGAGGAGATGGAGATGGACTGTGTGGGGATGGCTGAAAAGTTCTTTCTCTCTCTTCCCATAGACAATATGAAGCTGGTGAGTTCCAGCGTGCAGGTTACCGAGTCCCGGTTACGACGGGCATGGAACCATGTCGCTCTCATACGTCAAATGAGCGGGAGTCTTGTCGTTCGCCTCATGTGCATGTCCGACTTGACCCGGCAGCACGCTCTGGCCCTGCCAGGTCCAGTGTCCTGTATGCACTCGGTGATCAGGTGCCTACGACAGCCGTACCAGCCTAGTTTTGGTCTAGGCCGTGGCGTGATCAATGCGGCATCACAGCTACTGCTAGCCATGGTCGAGGGATCTCACGACCTGGCTCATGAGCTCCTCGAAAATGAAGAGCTGACAACTATCTTCGTCAGGTGGCTTCTGGCCCCGTATCGATGGCCAGTTGACAATCTACTGGCCTGCATCAGTGAAATGCTGAAGGGGCGGACAGCTGAGTGCCCATGCTTTCGCGAAATTGAATCGTCCACGCCCATCCTGGAGGCATGTGGTCTGTATCTCTACTGCAGCAACCAGGATGTGCAAGCCAACGCTCACTACATTGTCATCGAGCTGTGCAAGACAGAGCCACGCCACACCAAGCACCTCATGAATATGGACCTTATTAGCCCCAAGCTGTATAAAGAGAAAATCCTGCCAATGCTCAGCCCAGCTGCTGCGGCGTCCACTCCAGAGTTTCCTATCCTAGAACACCAGGAAGCATGGCAGAACAAAGATGAGCAACTCGAGGACGTTTTCAAGATAGGAGATACAGAAGGCATGTCCAAGCTACGCATGAAGGAGCAAGGCGAGAAACACTTTGCAGCAGGCACTCTCACTGAATCTTACAAATGGTTCACCTCTGCCTTTCTGACAGGTCCACATGTGGAGTGCAATACGGCAATCCTGCGCAAGCGTGCCGAGATCTACTACGGCTGGGGGCAGTACGACAAGGCACTGCAGGATTGCACGCTTATGATTTCCTTTGACTTTGATGACAAGTACAGCTGGGAGGTTGTCCGTGCACTGAATCTGCGTGCCAGGTGTTTTCAACGCGATGGACGCCTATTTGAAGCCTGCAATGACATGCTACGCTGCGTGTATGAAATGCCTGCAGGACAAGATTATATCCGCTTCTTCTTTGAGGTGGCACGCGAATGGCGCAACATCAGCTCAAAGGAACTGGAGAAACATGTGGTCAAGAATGCAGCCGGCACGCCTCTGGAGAGGTGTGCGAAATGCTCCGTTGGCAAACCGGACATGCCTAGATGCTCCCGGTGCAAAGTGATGTACTGCTCACTTCGCTGCCAGCGCAGTCATTGGACAGAGCACAAATCCAGGTGCGAAGCCGTTTCCGATAAAGCCTATGCTTAGCCTCTGTGTGGCATAATAGCAGGCAGGTGAATCATCGGAAAATGAATGACAAATATTTGTAGCTGGACTGTAGTCTCCCCCCTCCCTCTCACTGATCCTGTCTCTTTTTGGTAGCTTATCAAAGCATGGACTTCATGGTAACAGTCAATGCACTCTGATCATAGTAAGTTACTTGTTGGGAATGCATCGAGCTTCCAGCCTTGAGAAACTGTTTAAGTTGACATTCAGCGTGATTGATGAAATCCGGTGACACATTTTCTGGCTCTGCTCTCATTGTAGTGGTACCGGAAACACTGTTCTGTGCACTCAGACGCGGCGCTACTTTATTCATGAGGTTGAATTTTTCTGGCCAGCTGTTGTAGCTGCTGTTGTTGTTTCAAATCTTTATTCTTTGTTGTTGTTGTTGTTTCAAATCTTTATTCTCGTTGTTGTTGTTGTTGTTGTTGTTGTTGTTGTTGTTGTTGTTGTTGTTGTTGTTGTTGTTGTTGTTGTTGTTGTTGTTGTTGTTGTTGCCGGTTGTTGTTGTTGTTGTTGTTGTTTCAAATCTATATTCTCACGATAGCCAGTGGCCAATAAAGAGATAATAGTGTGAGAGAGGAGAAAGAGTGAGGAAGAATTGGGTGGGCGGGGATTAGTGACTACATTTAAAGTGTACGGGCAGGGGTGGTCGCTACACGAGCATACAGAGTTGTGGAACAGCAGGGATATCTGGGATTTGAAGAGAGTACGACAAGGGATTTGGCGGCGAAGCTGGGTGTTGTTGTTGTTGTTGTTGTTGTTGTTGTTGTTAGCCCTTGGTGAATTATGCTTTTTTCCATTATGCTGAATGATTATGCTGGAATTATGCCAATGATGGTGCTATCCTATGCTGTGGTTCAATCCAATGGTATGGTGAACTCAGTACAAACAGCCCTCGGTAAACTAATTGCTGAGTTATCCTGGCCGTTTCCATTATTGCCTTGAGTGATTATCATATGCTACATTATGCATTTCTCTGGGCAGTACGGCAGTAGCCGAAAAAGATAAAGAGGGGGACAGTGAACAGTCAGTAACAGGGTATTTTACTACTCCCTGGTCAGTAATGTCAGTATTGTTGGAACGATTGAATGATGCTAGCATGCATGCTACAGACATGGCAGTCATGATTGCCAGGCTATGCCAGCCACTCCACTCACGTGATCATGCACGCTCATTTCAACTCGAACTGCATGTAAATAATGCGTCTTACTTTTTTTACTTTTCAGGAAGCATTATTATTAGGGTACATGCAATAATACAATGTACTAGCATTATGTACATGTCATGTACATGATTGTATGATAACAATGTGAGGAACCTTCCTTCAAATCATTGCCGTTTTGCTTTTGAATATTACTGATCTTGCCTTTCAATGGGCCGGGTCTCTCCTAACGCAGTAACGGTTGGCAAACTACGTACACGTACACAATTTTCATTGCCCTCTCGATCGGATAAACGACGGCAGGCAGCAATCAGATTTGCAGAATGGCTGAACGTGATGCGGTGGAAGTGTCCCTGTGGAGACTAGCAAAGGAGAAAAACTCTGACGTGAAAGGAACGTGGCATAGTGCTGCTGCTTTTCACCTGTCCCTACGTGACCGCGAGCAAGCTGATGATCCATTGGCTATTCCAATGCTTTCTTCTGAATACTACGCCCTGCCTCTGCTTGGTGCATATGATCAAGATGACTATGAGGTATTGCAGCCAATCGGCCTTCTCCACTTGTCCGATATCTCGATCAGCATGGGGCCGCATGGTGAGGTGCAACACGTAGGTCAGTGGCTGCCCGACGATGTCAAGCACTCGCTAGAGTCTCTGAGCACATCAGTGCAAATTCGCCACGCCGTTGTAATCCACAGCTACCCAGTGTTGGCCACTGCCCTGGACGAGGTCAATGTTCTGCCGCACACTTGGCTGCTGGCTAGCCGGTGGAACAGCGTCAGGGATTCCGACGGGTCATGTGACCGTGAGGCCACACCGGAACCGGCCTGGTCAGTGCCAGTGGTGGACTGGCAGTCCGAAGTGGTGGATGCTGTTGTGCACATTGGCGTGTACAGTGAAAGCCCGGGTGTGCACTGTGTGCGCCAGGACATTGCAGAGGAGCTCAACGGACTACGGTTCGGCCAGTTGTCACCACGTCTTATTCACATCCACGACGGGCGGTTCTCTCCGAACAATTGTCAGGTCGGACTGACTAGCGAACTCTGTAATGATACTGGCGAGTATCCGCCATTTACTAGTTTTTATACCATTATGCAGGATCAGGAAAGCTGTAGTCGTGCAGCCTGTGCTGTGTTTCATTTGGTTCCAACCAGTAACACGAGTATGGACAGCGCTTTGAAATGCCTTTCTGAGAGCAGGTGCCTTGGCGAATTGCTGCCATCGATGCATGCCAGGCTGGGCGACTTCCATGCACTGCATATTCTTGAAAATCTTGTTGGAGCTGGTAACGCCGGCTCTGCCAGCCGGCCGCAGAACATGGCAATAACATGACCACACCAGTGCGAAACGCTGACGAAAGTATTACTAGTATGCAGCACAGCTGCAGCCACTCCAATATTGCCTAGATCCCGCGGCTGCCTTTTGTCTCACCCGCACCATGTTGCTAATCTAAGAACATCCCGGAGTTGCTATGACTACCGGTGCTGCTCATAACTAACTTCACACGAGTGACCAGGTGACCATGGTGACAGCATACCACACACTCACAGGGTATGCGTTCACGTAGTACCAGCTGTCAATGGCTTTCAGAGTGCCTGCCTGTGTGTTTGATGTTATGGTGATCCCTTGCCTGCCACGAGTTTGGCCTTCCCGGGCAGGATCAATCTTGTCTTCCATAACCCACTCGCCTGGGGCACGCTCTCGTGGAAACTTTATGCGCAAAGTGTACTGACCTTGCTCCGGCAGTGCTTGGAGAAGGGTGAAGGCACGGGCATCTGTCATGCGTGCATCCATGTCGCCCGTCTTCCAAGTCGAGAAGACAAATGCAGCATGATCGTCAACCTGATACTCGTCCTTGGCATCTTGAAGGTAGCCCCGCACATTGTCGGGAGGTAGCACTGGGTGTGCAGCAGGCTTTGATCGAGGTTGAAACTTCGAAGGAGGCCATCAGGGGGCCGGGATGGGCTTTGTCTTCTTGGTACTGGAATGGGCCTTGCCTTGCCCTCTGCTCGACACGGTCGAGCAGCCGGAATTGGCCTGGACTCTGCTGGCAAGCAACTCGTCAATGTAAGCATCCATGTCGGTGGATATACATGTAGGCCGTGTTGAATTACTTCTAAATGAAGGTGGGTATGGGGTCCACTGAACTCTGTGTCATGAGGGCGGCGGACCATGTGACCATGTGACCATGTTGCACTTTTAGTGTATGTGGCTGCTCTTCTTTACCACCTCATCTCAGGTGTTTTACTTAATTGGTTCTCTTCTTTACGAAGTTGTTGTTGATCTTGCTCCTCTTTCGTATTTCCCGGTCCTAACCTTTCTTTATCTTTATCGCCATGGTTGGCTTTCACCCACTCTCCTCACATTGGCTGGTGTTTCCACTGAGTCTTGAGATGACTCACTGAATGAAACAAAAATTAATGTCGATTCAGAGTTGTAGTCTTCGGGGTGCTGGGTCGAATGGTCTTGGTCCGAGGAAGCTGAGACGCTCCCTTCCTCCTTTACTCCCAATCGAACTCGCCACTTCCACCGAAACTGGATGATTGCGCCCTAACGTTACTAGATGATGATTTGTATGCAAAATGTCATTTCGTTCTTATAAAAGCACGGATGACCGCGATTGGCCCATATGTTCCAGTGTTTTGGACGCTGAGCTGAGTCGACTGGTTTTGGTCCGAGAAGGCTGCGATGCAACGTTCGGCGGCCCTTATTCCCAATTGAACATGGTTGAAGAAGCGATCACAATCGAGCATGCCCTATGTGTAAATGATGAGGCCACATATCATATGATATCGAGGACAAGTAACGGTTAGTTAGCCTACACCGTACATTCCTTTTTTTACTAGCCCGTTTTGCTCGCTAGGGTCATTTTGGCTTGAACAGATTTTCTGCTGGGTGCTTTTCCTTCTCTTTATGTGAGACCGCCACGGACAGCGGAGGGGGTGGGCCCATCCGGGGTCCCTGTTTTGCCCCTGTGACGGTGGGGCGCGGGTGGCCTTTGCCCCCCCCCCCCCCTCCCCCGGCTGCTACTGAAGGCCCTATAGCGCCCTAGCCTAGGCCTGGTCGAAATGTCGACCGTTTTACGTGTCGGTTGACCTCAAAAATCCGATCAAATTGGCTACATGTACATGATGTACTGCTACAGTGCTGGCAACTGAAATCCAACCCCCTGGCGGCGCGGCGCGCCGCCCTGGGGTCGGATTTCAGTTGCCAGCACTGTAGTTTGCGCCCCATGCATGGCCATTTGCGCGTGTTCAAAGTCAAACCGGATTTCATTGAGCAGTGACCAGCTAGCTACGTCATGCAGTCAGGGTCTCGATCTCCGGCTGTGTATGTTTCGTACTTCTTTGCGACACAAATGCATTACCAAGATTTTTCATTTCGTTCCCTTTACTTTACTTGGACCAGCTGAGGTTGTCACCATCCTGTACCTCTCCTGTAGCTGTGCGTGTCCTGTGCATGCCATTGTTTGTGACGGAGATCGAGTAGTACTGGTGGTTTTTAGTTCTTCTTCAAGGCGAGCATTTTTTTTGTGAATCCGGCCAGCACGTCTGTCTATTTGCGACTTCGACGAATTTGAAAATATTGATTTTGTCCTGTGTGGCGTAGTGCCAGTGGTGAGAATATTATACCGGCGTCAGCGATGGATCCCGAGGGAGATGAGTCCTCGTCGATCCCCAGTGCTACTGCTTCGCCATCGAATGGGTTAGTTCGTTCTTGTCTCTTCACTGACGAATGCAGCGGGTTTCGATTGGAAAGTAACCAGTGCAAAATTGCATTGAGATTTACATACTTCAAATTGGTGTTGTATGACACAAAATTAACGTAATGATTTAATTGTATGCGGGTATGCTGCAGTTCCTACTGTAGTATGCTGTATCCATTCAAGGGAAGGTAGTGTGTGAAGAGACATGATCTGATTGGCCGTTTGCACTGTGCAACCAATCGAATCATTTTGAACGAATAATATTTAAAGGCAGTGCAGATCCTATAGCTATAGACTGATACTGGTACATTGTTATTGTTAGATAATAATAATAATAATAATAATATCTAATAGGATGATCAAGGTTTATCTAATACTGGTTTTTTAACCAGTGTTAGGTTATATAACACCTTATACATTGTTGTATAACTTTGTACCAGAACTAGTAGTACTGTATGTTAGCAACGAATCTTGTCCTAGTAATGGAGTATTCACGATTTTGTTGATGTGCTTATACGTGCACATTGTGTATGAATTCTTACTGGAGAAAAAGTACAGCCGGCTCCTGATATAACGAACACCATTGTGCTGAAGAATTAGTTCTTTATAAGGCCAAGTAAAAAAAAAAGCTAGATGATCGTCCCCGTCCGCCCCAGTTTTTGTCAGCGCCCCAAGAAATATTTTATTTTTTAAATCGTGAGTTTTTGCCGAAATCGTTGGTTTTTTACCGATCGCGGATGCAGGAAACATGTGCACGCTTTGTTTAATACTTTCTTTACTATATGGACCACATACTACTAGTATATCACAACGTCAGTATCGATCTGCTGAAGAAAGAAAAAGAAAAAAAGAAAAAAAAAGAAAAAAAGAGAAAAAAAACCTTGATGTTGTTGTGTACACTGTGTGCATGAGAGGGTAAAAAGTAAAAAAATAAAAATAAAATCCTCCCGCCCTCCCCAGTAATTTTTTTTACTCGGCCTAACCGAAGTTCGTTATAACAGAAATGCACTCACACTATACAAGCATCAAGTCATGACTGGCAAGTGGCCCATGACAGTATGAGTGTACTTGGCTAACACACGGCCCAACCAGATTTGATTCGTTATAAACGAATTTTTCGCTGTAAAGGGTCAACTTTGTATATAATGGGTTCAAGCAGGGACATGGACAAGGGTTCGCTATATCACAAATATGCGAGTTCATTATAAGTGGAGTTGGCTGTATAAATATTGCAGACGGATAGATGTCTCTCAGTCTGGTACTTCAAGTCTCAGAGAAAGCAGTGGAGGTTGGTGAGGTTTGCCTAAACTTTACTTGATTGCTATGCCTGCACGTCCTCTCAAAAATTTAGAACAAAGCGAGCTGATGATCGCTTCATTGCTGAGTAGAAGTAACAATCAACTCTCCTCAGGTCCTCAGTGATTCGCGAGCCCTAACTTTAGCGAATTTGACTGGTTCGCTATATTCGCTAAGGTTTATGTGTCGCTAAAGTTTGGGGGGTTACATTTGAATATCGGGCAGAATGAAAGGCTCCAAAGTCCACTAAAACAGCCCCGACCGCCACAATAATTGGCACAAAGCGAAAATAGGAACGTAAAAGACTGGACTCGAGACAAATGCGATTGAGTACAGGCTGGCGTGGTGTACCCCCCCCCCCCCCTGTTCCTCGGCACCTGACAGTACTGTTTACGGTGGTGCCAGAAAGGCAAGGGTGGAGCCTTCAATAATTGTGCTGTGTGCGCGCGTGTGTGTGTGTGTGTGCGCGTGCGTGCGTGTGTGTGTCTGTGAAACTCACAACAGGCCCAGTAATACAAACACTGGACCTTGCCTGACATGGTTAGATGCTGCTGAGGTGAGTGATGCTTCTAGTCCTAGCCTCAGCTCCTAAATGTTTGTGATCTATAGACGTTCAGGTACTACCGTATTTGAACTCATATTTGCGATTCAACTGTGCATAGTCATTCTGTTCATTACCTGCACAATTGATGTATGAACTAGTGTCTTGCTGGAGTATTGAGTATTCCTAAGTTGTTACCGGTTGCTATTTACTTACCAACACCGGGCTTGTACACGAAAGGTACCGCTATGCTGCCCTTGCCGGTAACTATCAGAATGTGAACAATTAACGTGAAAGTCAGGTGTAATTATCTGGCGAATCGTGTTTGTTGCTTTCAGGTGGTGCTGCGGGATGTCTCCAGCAAGGGCCTTCACATCACAGAGTTGACAAGTCTGATTTTGGACCGGCGTTTGACCCAGTCGAGGTACGGTGTTGACTTTGGAGTTTCTGTCCTTGTTGCTCTTTAGCCTCAGTGTCTGTATTGCTTTGTGCTACATGTACTTCTACAAGCTTTGCTGAGTAGTTTTAACGTTGCTATTGTATTACAGTATGAGTATACTGAATGCTTGCCACGGCTGCTCCTTTCTATAATAATATGTGTGTGTATGTGTTTGTATGTGCTTGTGTGTGTGTGTGTGTGTGTGTGTGTGTGTGTGTGTGTGTGTGTGTGTGTGTGTATGTGTGTGTGTGTTTGTGTGTTTAGCTCCAAGACTAGCCTGGAAACCCTGCTGTACCGTGAAGTAAGTTGTGGGCTTTCTGCTCAGAGTAGTTTTATGTGTATTGGGTAGTGAATACTTGCTTTTCCTCTGTGAGAATGGTGCTGGGCAAATTTCCATGATTGACATTCTGCTGTGTTTACGTCCTTGGGTGTTTTTTTGTGCCTTTGGCTTGCATAGACCCTCGCTGGGAGTCGTCGTTTCAAGCGCCTTCCCGGAAAGTTAGGCTGGTTTGGCCTACTGGTAAGGAGCCATTCATATTTGCTGCCATTTTCTGCACACAGGTACAACATGTAGCTTTTCCAGGCAATCTTGCTGGCACATTGGACTCTGCACACAGACTGCACATGAAAATGTACAACACACACGCACGCACACGCGCGCGCGCGCACACACACACACACACACACACACACACACACACACGCACAACAGGTGTGCTACTGGCCAGACCCCTCTCCCCTCATGTCAGTGTTACTTTTAAACAAGAACAGAAACAGCAGCAGCATTGTATTGCTATTGACTAGTGTTTATCCTAGTTTGCTAGATTTCTGAACATGTATTCCCATGGCTGAGAGCAGTAGTTGGATAATGAGATTAATGTCACCCTCCTGGCATCAGTCAGGCTCCTCACAACCTCACAATACACTGTATTCGAATAGTGCCACTGTGTTTATCCCTTTGCTCTGTGTGCACTTGTTGTTGTTGTTATTGTTGTTGTTGTTGTTGTTGTTGTTGTTTTTACAAATATGTCTTGTTCAGACTGAAGAAGAGCGGCAGGAAGCCATATTGAAAGAGGTATGTTTGCACGCACAGCTACAGTACTCATGTTGACCTCAATGAACCAGGGTGAAGCGCTTACTTGTGAACTGAGCCTAATGATCAGGTTTGAGCATGCTAGTACATCATGACAATCATAACCACGATGTACTTCCATGTCTGCACCATTAACGAACTGGCTTTTTCCCCGTGGCTCTTTGTCTTTCTGTTTTGTATTCAAGGGGGAAGAGAAGCCAGGGACGGTGGCACGCAAGCGCAAACACACTCAAGAGGAGAGCGATGAAGAAGAGGAAGATTCTGAAACGGTGGAGATGGAGCGGCAGAAGTACCGCTTGCTCCGTCGTGCTGTCAAGGAGTTTGTCTTTGTAAGCTCCACGGTGTGTGTGTGTGCATGTATGCATGGGGCGGGTGTTTTACTTGCAGAAAGGCCGTGGTTGAGGCTGAACAATACTAAAACCTTTCGTTTCAACAACTATCATTTGCCCTGATTTTTTCATGAAGAATGATGAAGTTTAGAACAACGGGGCAGTGAGAAATGGAGAGGCCTCGCACTGGGGAGTCGTAAAGCACCGTGCTATGTTTAGCAACTCCCTGCTTCACAATGATAGCAGTAGGGTGTAGTTGTCTCACAGTGCAGGCAGACAGGCTGCACAGGCTGGATGCTCACTCAGGGAGATGCATGGAATGACAGCTAAGGCCCAATGAAGTGAACTTGTCCCTGAAATGCGAGCAAAGCTGAACCATGTTTTGAAGATGCTGTGTCAGATGCGGTGACCGTGTTCTGAAGCCAGCTGCTCGCCAAGAAGCGCTTCTCAGCTTCGCCACTCGGGACTTGACTTTTGGATCGTCTCACATGAGTTTGTTATAACCAAGTCAATAGAGTGTTATAACCAAGTCAATAGGCAGTTGTCTAAGAACCTCAGGCTGCGTATAGTGCTCTAACTCCGTCCAGAGGGCTGAGCCAGTAGTGCATGGATGCTGTCTGATGAGTGTTTCTCAACACGAAACTATGAGTAGCGGCAGAAAAAGACCTGGTTGTGGCATTGCTGTGTGAGTAACCCAGTCAATATGTATGTAAAGGATGGTGCTTGTATTCGGGACCTGAAAACTAGGGTGTCTTAGCGTGGGTTCGTCTTACCGAGTTAACCTGTACTGCTTTTCGAAGTTATCACTTCTGGCTGTGTTTTTTTGCCTGCTTGCTAGATTATTACTACATGCACATGTATTTCAAGAACACATGCTCTGTTTCTTTTTTCATGTAGAGGAGTTTGTTTCTCGCCCGTTGTGAATTTGTGGATACATCGTTTATTTTGTCTTGTAGGAGAACAAAGCCTTGTCAGGTCAACATCAAATCTTGGAAGAGAAACTGGGACGTGCGAAAGCTGAAAGAAGGTACAGTGTGCGCTATGTACTTACTAGTTATAGATCTTTGTAGTTTTTGACCAGACTTTTGCACTATTGCTATCAGCATTTTGACTTTATTTTTGCATTTCGCAGGTTTAGGGTTTTATGGTTTACTTTGTGCCGTCATCCAGAGAACACCTTGCAGGGAAAGAACTTTGACATATCACTATTCACACTCTTCTCCTATGATGGTTGTAGCATTTTCCTTCTACTATACATTTTTTGACTATAATGCTGCACGCTTTGTTTACACAGGTACTTACTGCGGCGGCTACTCAGCTATGAGAGCGGTGATGTCAAGGCACCCATCATTCTGAAGGGCAAGCGGTCAGTCGACCGGCACACGCAGCGGGCACAGAACGAAGCCAATGCGGCTCCACCCCCGCCACCTCCGCCACCACCGCCTCCGCCAAGCAACACGCCGGCACTCATGCCCAAGCTCGACTACGCAGCGGTGCTTGCTGGCACGGCACCGACCTCTTCCCCTCGTCGCTCACTTCCGACCTCCATGGTGCAGAATCACACGGCGCCACTGGCTATGCCGTCACCACCCCACTTAGGTGGTCATGAGCGATTGCCTTCGAAGCCAAAGCTTGCATCAGCATCACGGCCTTTGTCGGCTGGCTCGCCACTGACCAAGCCAGCATCTGCAGCGAAGGAGCCCAGATCTAGAAAAGGTCAGTTGGATAGTAGGGCCTGTACCATTGTTATAATTATGTTCTTGTGTTGGTTGCGGATGGCGAGATGCGTGTGCGCGCCTCGTTGTCTTGATGCCGAAGGTTGGTTGCGGATGGCGAGGTGGGTGTGCACGCCTTGTCTTGATGCCGACGGTTGGTTGCGGATGGCGAGATGGGCGTGCACGCCTGGTTGTCTTGATGCCGAAGAGCAAGTCTGACTGTGAGATGTTGTGGACCTGAGAGCTCTGCGTTGCTCTACCATTCTTGCTCTATGGTGATGTTGAACCTGACCAGTGTAGTAGTATAGTAGCTTGTCTTCACTGACTGGCTTTGCCACCATCATTGTGACGGTGGCTTTTGATCCACATCCACGCACGCGCGTGCACACACACACACACACAAGCGCATGCGCGCTCATGCGCACACATTGCATCTTCCAGGCTGGAATTCTGTACAAGTTAATGACTGGTGTGTTTGTGTGCGTGTGCTTGCGTGTGTGTGTGTGTAACTGCACTGTGCAATGTTGGTTTTCACTTTCGCAGATGAAACACCTGTGCCAGAGAAATTGCCGCCAGTGAAGAAAATGACCGCAGCAGCGCAGGCTCGTGCAGCTAAGGCAGCCGCCGCAGCAAGTGCAAAGAAGGTAAGCGCATGTGCTTGGTGTTTCCGCATTGAAACATTGGAGTGGGGTCAGATTCTAGTCTTTTTTCTTTCTTTAGAAGGTCAAGTCGTTTAATTAATTGACTTGGGGCAGTTTGCTGCACACCACATTTCACATGCACAGATGTTTGCCACCCATTTTTGACAAGTGTCATCACCTGTGTTGCCACACCTGCCGACATATCAGTAGCCTGCCGATTTCTGAGGCATGTCACGACCTGCCGACAATTGACCTCCTGCCGACAACAGCCATGAAAGTGTTCAAGTTTGACCTTATGCATGGTTTAGGAGTCATGATCCAGATTTTTGACTTTTACTGCGCATCACGAGTGTTTCCATAGCTCTCTCCTGAGGCGCTAAGCAAAATCATCATCCGTCTCGGGGAAAACCGGCAAACTCAGCCTGAGTGTCACGCAAAACCGTGAAATTGTTTTCTTATCAGTGCCGCATGTGTGTGTATCGAGGTCTCTATTTGGGGGGGGGGGGGGGTCCGGGGGCAAAGCCCGCGGATGATGCATTTTATTTTTTCATGCTACTGATATTTGGCTAGAATGATGTGGCAACACTGCATCACTGTCTTGTTCGTTGTTCTTGCCAGGCCCCTCCGCCACCAGTACAGGCTCCAGCTGAAACCACAGGCGTTGGGAAGTCCAAGCGAAAGAAGCCTGGAATGGTCCGGAAGCGCATTCAACCTATTCCGGTTCATCCGAATGGTACGTTTTTGACATGGAAGTGCGACTGGACATGCCATGTGCATTGCATCGGTACTTGCACCTTGCTAACAGTTATTAGTGAACGTATTGCAACAGTAAATCATTTACATGTACCTGTGTTCCTGGCATCTTGCCAGTTAGTGACCCACATGGCACGTACCAGTTGTTCGTATCAACGTTGAACTCATAGCCTGCTTGACGGTCATAGGGGATTGGAAAGTGCTGGTCAGCTGAAACGTTTGTTTTGCTGTCTCTATACAAATCTATTCCAGGGTGGGTGTACTTCAAAATTCGTATGTTACACTTGGTGCAGCTGCTTAGACCTGTTGCCCTGCCAGTCAGTAGCTTAACTCCATGTCAGACGTACTGTTACACTGGCCTGAGCTGAGCTCCATAGCTCAAGGCATCAAGGCCTGCTCGGGTAGGTTATTGTTGACCTGCACTGTCTGTGTATGGTGCTGTGGAACATATGCTTGTTCAATGCTGCTAGTGTGAATCACTACTAGAACAAACCTTTAGTGCAGCCTCAGCGCTGCCTATACCTCTTTTTTTTTTAATCATTTCTTCTGATCCAGTTTTCTGATATTGCTGAGTGTTGGTCTGGTTTGTTGGTGTTGTAGGCCTCCCCATCTTTCCTATCTCCCTTGGTGGTCTCACTGTACGCAATTTGGGCAAGGTAATTTGTCTAGTGCTTGATATGCATACATACTTTATAATACTGTGTGTCTGCCGCCTCTAACCAGATAATATCAGTTTTTGTTATCTGGTTAGAAGCAGATGTGTTCAACTACTATTATTCATGACACATACGGGTACCTGGTAATACTACGTCAGGAGTACTAGCTATGTAATATGGTACTAAGAACTATTCAATGTTCTCCCCAGACCATTATTCCCAGCCAGCCAAGCACACAAAATTCCAAACTTTTTCCAAACCAATTTCAAGAATTTCCAAGCCCACGAACAGCAGTTTTTGGTTTGAACTTGAAGGTGGACCACCTCTGGTCCTCAAGACTCAACAGAAAAGACTGCGACAGAGAGAAGAGAGGGAGAGAGACTCTCTCTCTCTCTCTCAGAGATGAACTATGGATACATCATTAATAAACACCATAACGACTGACAGCAGCAACAGAAAAGCCGTGAACTGACAGCTGATAAAATTTATTTGATACGTAATGATTTAATAGGAAATAAAACGATTACATTCAAAAGTGAACGCATGTTATATCCCACGTGATCTCCACTATACCGGCGCTGAAAGCATTGTGAATGGTGTGGAAACCACAGTTTCCAGCCCTGAACAGCTTGTCGTCCGCATCAGCTTTCAGACGATCACTCAACAAGTCGAACACCTTCCAATTCACACTGGGGCCATCCATGGATACTTGTAGCAACCCACCCAAGCCCAGAGACTGACAGCTGTCAAGCAGCTCGTTCACCAAGCTCTCCGCGTGTGCGTGACCCAGAAACTTGGATGTGAAGTAACGGGTCGAGACACGATCTCCATTCCAATCACGGACCAGGACGTCCAGCTGTTTCGACTGCGTTACGTAGTTTCGGCTTTTGTCAAAATAGGACTACATGGTCATTGTTCTTCACGTTTGACAGCAGCAGCGACTCGAAATACGGTGTGAGCCCGAACTTTGCCAGGTAATTGCATTTCCGTTTGCTGCAAGAAAACTTAGCAGCTATTCCGCTGTCAGGAAACATCTTCTGAAGAAGAGCTCTGGACTTGAACGATTGTTGCTTAGGACGATGTTCAGAGCCCTGTAGATCTCCACAGAGAGCGTTTGCGTAGTTGTAACACTGTTGCAGTTGCGAAGGTTCGGCATTGCAGCAGAAGACTTAACCGAGGACGTAGGAGAATGAGACAATGGCAAGAAGTTGGCAATGAATAAGCCAGATCAAAGCTTCGCTCGCTCGGCGTGCTTTTTGCTGGTCATATGGCTGACCAACACAGCATCTCCCATGGAGCCCAGCTCGATATCCTTGCTGCAGAGTTTGCAGCGGGCCTTGTGCCGATTGGTCGGCATGGGGGCAATCCAAGAGCGATACTTCTCTTGGTTTAACCATTTGTCCGAGAAGGCACAGGCAAGCATGACGGCTACACGAAATATATACACTAAACGCACAACTACTACTACTTTCACTACAAGGCCAACATGTTGTGTCTCTTGTTTGACACTCTTAGAAACCAGGATCACGCACGCCCAGACTCAGTGTTAAACCAGAGCTGGTGTCACGGACATATTGCCGGAGAAATTGCACAGCTATACAATCAAGAATACAATAGGAACAGAAGAGACGGAAACTACAGACTACATTGGTGAAGAACTCTCTAAAAACCGAAAATGAAAAATAACCACGAGGCAGAAAAAAGAACACTAAACGCACTACTACTACTATTTTCACTACAAGACACAAGTGACAACTCGACTCGTCAACCACACGTCACAACAGAAAACCTAATACGGTGGCTCACCGGCAACTGATATCACTGCATATATCCCAGGGGGTGAATTTATCCGGTATCGCATCGAAGTCTGCGATGCAAAATCAATCAAGTGCGACTCGCAGAAAACTGCGCTACATACAGGCTGTCCATGACTATCTTGCACTGTCAAATAACACGGCTACAAAATGCATGGTAGGTAGTACAGGTACTCTCAATCTGCATGCATATGATGCATGCGTACCACACGCGCGCGCAAGGTGGAAGCATTACCGTAAAAGTCCGTAAATAAGTACGTATTTACTTTCGAATTTAGTGACCACACCCGTACTAACTTTCGGGCGGGTACTGACTTTCGGGCACGAACTAACTTTCGGACCTGACTTGTGTGTAGTGGAGAAGTCATTTTCATGTCGATGTACATGCTACGTGCTGCATGTGCGCATCGTACCGGTACTTATTTCGGGCAGTATGTTTATCGGGCTTGACTTGACTTCAACAGACAGAAAAAAGAATGACGGGGGTATTTCTTTCGGACAGGTACTTATTTACGGACTTTTGCGGTACATTTTGTAGATGGGTTTTCAGAAATTGCTCTCAAGAACGACCATGTAGTAAACACTAGTGAACTTTCCAAGAAAAGTGCTAATGAAAAATCAAAGACTGCCGCGCAATTGAGTTTTATAGCAAGAACTGCTATGCAAAAAAAGTGACAGTAAATTCATCTCTGCAACCCTTGCTGTCCCGACTACAAAGAATCAAAGTATATCCGGCTTTTGCCAAAATGTCTGTCTTTCTATATGCCTGATGTGCGTGTATTTGGTGTGTATTTGGTGTGTATGGTGTGTGTATGGTGTGTGGGTATGTGTGTGTGTGGGCATGTGTGTGTGTGTGTGGGGGGGGGGGGGGGGGGGTATGTGCATGTTTGTGTATGGTGTGTGTGTGTGTGTGTGCACTCATGTGTGTGCACTCATGTGTGTTCATATGCATACGTGTATGCCTGTCTGTCTTCCAATCTCCCAGGTTGTGCACAATAGGCCGAGTTTCTATTCAGAGCGTTACATCTGGCCAGTTGGCTTCACCAGCACTCGCTTCTATCCCAGTATGAAGAATCCCGAGACTCGTGCTCTGTACACGTGCAGTATCCGTGACAATGGTGATGCTCCCGTGGTAAGTAGGTGGACTGCTGTTTCCCTTGTGTACTGTCCATGGTAAGAGTCTCACTTGCGTAGAGTTATGACTGTGCTTGGCGCAGCACTGGGGTAAGATATCTTCAGGCAGGCAGGAATAGCAATGTGTTAATGTGTATGTACTTGCAACGAGCGATTCGTGGCACATTTTTTTCAGACACGTAATTGTGACAGACCGCGTACAGTATGCACTGACACAATACATATGATAAATACTTATTACTTAGTATCGTGCAACACATGGATCCGCTGCTGTTCCTCGGCTAGAGATCGCCCGCACGCGCGCTATACCGGGTGCCTCTCCAAGCTGCTCGATCCTGGGCCATCATGGAGAGTTCGTCAAGATGGTACACATACCTGTAGTTTTGGTGTATCAGGGGCCCAGAATTGGCGAATGCTCTATAGTACAACACGACATGTCTCTCCAAATGGTATGGTTCAGTGCAAGTATCCCTTAGCATCCTGTAGAAATGTATGGTTATTGTCTGTGTGTGTGTGTGTGTGTGTGTGTGTGTGTGTGTGTGTGTGTGTGTGTGTAGGGATTCACTGGCCAGAAAAAGTCACTTCAAATAGCTGTATGGTGTAGACCAGGCTGAATAGTGACGGTCAATTCTTCAGCCTTGCAAGCTGTTGAATGGTGCAATCCCAGCACAAGTTGCTATGGCTTCTGCCGTAGCATTGCTATCATCGCCTCCGGCGATGGGCGTCAAAGGTCAAGGTCAAAGGTGTGTGTGTGTGTGTGTTGGATTTTAATCTGTGCAGTTTGAGATGGTTGGTGATGATGATCCAAAGAACGTAATATCTGCTCCGTCAGCTACAGCCTGCCTGTGTTTGGTGCTGACCGCGGTCAACAAAGCAAGGTGGGCTATGTGTGTGTGTGTGTGTGTGTGTGTGTGTGTGTGTGTGTGTGTGTGTGTGTGTGTTGTGTGTGTGTGTGTGTGTGTGTGTGTGTGTGTGTGTGTGTGTGTGTGTGTGTGTGTGTGTGTGTGCTCGGCTGCTTGAAGGTGTATTGTTGTACCTACCACCTTTGTTGGTTTCAGGGTTCATATACTTTCTGTTTGAAGTATACATACCTGTTAACCATGGACTGCTTCTGGCTAGATTAACTCTTGTGTAATCAATGGTGCTAGTGAAGCTTATATCAGATCCACTCTGATTTAGCCACCCACACTAGTACCAAGTATTACCTTCACTGGGTGCAGGGGTACCTGCAGTTTGATCCCGGGACGGATACCCTGATGCCGTCAATCCTTTTTCTGCACCTTGTCCTCACCCACTTACTGAGGTGTGGTGAGCCCATAAGTGGGATCATTTCAAGTCCACCCTAGTTTGGGGATTTCAGGGGGTGTCGGCGGTTGGGTGGTTCAATGGCCAATTGAGTCATCTTTCCAAGATTCCTTTTGAGTCTCTCTCCCCTCTCCCGGGGAGACCCACGTGACCAGTTTTGGCAGTGAGCAAGTACAAGTACAAGTGTGTGTGTGTGTGTGTGTGTGTGTGTGTGTGTGTGTGTGTGTGTGTGTGTGTGTGTGTGTGTGTGTATGGCTTCGCCAGTTGTGTCGATTTGACAGTTATCTGGCGCTTGTCTTGATCTGTTTCAATCAGAATCAGATCCGCTAACATTGCTATATTAAAAGAGAAAATCTGTGGGTGCACATCCAGTGTATTTGCAGATCTGCGTGCTTCCCTTGTGACGGGCGTATACATGGTACATGGTGTGTGTGTGTGTGTGTCGGAAGGCTACCTTCTTGCCAAAGCATTTGGAAGTTGGACTAGTTTCGGCTCCACAATCCAGTGTGTTGCTACTGTAGTATTATAGCCTTCATGGCTGAGGTTGTTGGTATGTCTGTTGGCTCTGGGTTCCCAGTACTCAGTAGCTGAGGCTGGTTGGTAAAGTAACTCCAATTTCACTTCAAGGTACCAGTGCATCTAGTGTCTGCTTCTATCAAAGCAGCATGCCGTCTATACTGGTTACCCCAGCAAGTGTAGGGTGTGCATAGGTAACTGTCTTGGCCGTTTTATGCCGATGTACTCCGTGTGGTGTAGACCAGGGGTGCATTGGTGGTCGATTCACATGGCTTCGCCAGTTGTGTGGATTAGACAGTTATCTGGCGCAAGTCTTGATCTGTCTCATTCAGATCTTGTTCGCTATCGTTGATATAAGAGAAAATCTGTGGGTGCACATCCAGTGCATTTGCAGATTTGCGCGCTTCTCTTGCGACGGGCGTGTACATGGTGTGTGTGTGTGTGTGTGTGTGTGTGTGTGTGTGTGTGTGTGTGTGTGTGAGAGAGAGAGACAGAGAGACAGAGAAAGAGAGAGAGAGAGAGAGAGAGAGAGAGAGAGAGAGAGAGAGAGAGAGAGAGAGAGAAATTGAGGGGGGTAGCATGCTGCCAGTCCCTGTCAGGATGTGTACCATTGAAGTCCTTTACCTGAATGCTTTCCTTCGTCTCATGCTGTTCTTGTTGTGTGCTTTTAGGTCCAAGGAAGCAACAAACACTGGATCCGGACCGGAGTTTTTCGGCTTTTCACACCCCACCATCATGAACCTTATCCAGCATTTACCCGGTGCAGAGAAGTGCCGCAAGTACCAGTGGGCAGAGTTTGATCCGCCACGCAAGGTCAAGGAGAACGCCAAGCATTCGTTTGGTGATGGTGTGCCGTCCGACCTGCGCATGCACCCGATACCATCGAGCGGCGGTGCCATCGCTGCCAGTGCTGTTCCCTACCCCAGAGGTTCTGGCAAGGCAGCAGCAGCAGCTGCGGCTCGTGCCAACCCTGGAAATGCGCTTCAGTACCCGAGGGGTGCAAGTAAGGCTGCCGGTAAGACCTATCAAGCTCGTGCAGCGCCTGCGCCTGTGTATGCCAAGCCTGCGCCTACAGCTGGTATGCCGGTCTCAGCCGCATCAGGTGACGACTCTGGCAGTGGCAGCGAGAGCGGGTCCTCCTACTACTCCGACTCCAGCGGTAGCGAAAGCGGCTCCGACTCGGAGAGCGAAGCTGCACCTGCTATCGTGTCACAACAACAGCACGCAGCAGCAGCCGGGGCTGCAGGCTATCACCAGCAGCCACAAGTGTGGCATGGCAATCGCCCAGTTCCTGCTGCCCATTCGTACCAGTCCGGCCAAGCTGCTTCAAGGCCGTCACACGCCCAATTCCTGCCGCAGCGTGGTCCTTCTAACAGTGGCTACATGCCGCAGATGGCCGTCATGGCCAACCAGCAGCCCCAGTACGAATCCTCCGAGTCATCTTCATCTTCGGGAAGCGGCTCCTCTGAGAATGAGTCGAGCAGTTCCGAGGGCGAGGAGTAGCCTGTATGGAGTCGGTACGTACACGTAGATCGCTAGGTTGTAGTATGTATATTTTGTTGACAACATGATGTGTCCCCTTTTTCCTCGGGCGCCTTTTATCGCGCTGCCGTAGTTGATTTTTAACTGCTTTCTTCTGTTCTCTTGCTGCCTCTGTTGACCTGATTTTGGCGTTACCCGTGCAGTGCCTTCTTCTTGCTTGTATAGCTGTATTTTATCTAGACCTCAGTTCACACTGACTTCATATCATCGCATCCAATCGCTGTTCCTTGTTTAGTGCTTGCAAAGCTGTTAGGTCTGAGTTCAAATTCTCCAAAATATTTTCTTGTACGTGGACGTGTCTCTCGCTTATCAATCCGAAGTATGAAACCTTATGCCTCAAAGTCAGACCTGTTGTTGCATACACTATTTTTTCGTGCAATTAATGTGTCGTTCCTTCGTTCGCCTTGTCGCTTTACAAGCACATCCTGGCTTCCAACTGTCCTGCTTCTGCCATAGTTCTGCTTTTGTTTTCACACCTTCACAACTGTTTTTGGTTTGCTTGTGAAATTTTATCATCAATACTTCGAAATTATCCAGTGCTCTGAAATCTGAAGTGCATTATTGCATAGGAACATGAGAAATACAGAGACCCAATTGCCTTCGTGTAGCCCAAATTGTCCTCATTGCAAAGAACAATAAGTACAGGTGCGGCCAAAGAAATCGGATCCACGAGCCAAAGTAGCGCCGTCTTTTCATTTCAGTTACATCATGCACAGTCCGATAAAATATCTGAGGTGCTAGGGGCATGCACCATGGCACTGCTTTCGGCACATGGGTCGGATTTTTTTGGTCACGCCTGTATGATGTCCTAGCTCATTTCCCTGATGATTTCGCAGTGACAGGTGTTGTTTATACAGATCTACTGGCCCTGGTTAGTACGACATCGATTTCCCGGTGCACATATTATTGGGACCTTGAGCCTTTGTCGTCGAGCCTATCTGTCCCCGGGGAAAATTGCGGAAAAAATCGCAAAAAACGCGGAGAAAAACGCGGCATAATATGGCATAATTTGCGGTGAATTTGCGATAAATATGCGGTGAATAATATTGATGTGCGGCAATTTTCAGTGAGTATGTAGTGAAATCAATCAGTTACAAGTCTTTGGTGTAAGCACTCGTCATATTTGAGTAAAAAGCCGCCACGATGAGACTATAGACGTTGCTGACCGAACAGTGCACTGTGTGTACGTGTTAGGCCTTAGCGGATAATGCCGGCAGAAAAATTGGCAGAATTCGGTACCTTTTCTGGTAAGTTTCATGCATGTTTGGTATGTGGATAAAGAAATGGAGCAGAATTCGAGGAATTGCCCGCCATAAGGTTTGTATGGTTCTGCCAATTTCGGTGCAAAAAAGCAGAATCTGCCACCTTTTCGAGCATTATCCGCCAAGGCCTAGTACGTGTAGTGCAACAAAAAAGTTCAAAAAACGCGGGAAAATCGCGGAAAACGCGGTCTTTTAAAAAATCGCAAAAAACGCGGAAAAAACGCGGCCGCGGAATCGCAATTTTCCCCGGGCCGGGGACAGGCCTATGTAGCGATAGCGCCTTGACTCAACTAATTTAATTAAAATAATAATTACTTGAAAAGTCTCAAGTGATCAAGTAGAGATTTTACATGTCAAGAGTTTACTCAGTACACAAATATCTACCCACGTGCCACAGCTAGTACTTACTTGGTCATCCAATGCACGTGATCCGGATAGCTGAGCTGATAAAAAATGTTTTACTGAAAATACGCGCAAGATAATATTGATGGAAATCGAAACTTCAAAAAATAATCCTTACCCACATCTTGATCTGAAATTGGTTGTTGGTAGCCATGGACGAACTATTTGATTGCTTCAGCTCCGATTCAGTTACACCGAGTAAGAAGAGGCCACACGGCGAGGAAGTGGAGGAGATAAATGATGAGGAACCTGTGTTGAAGAAATCTCGACCAGATGCTGCTATCAGGTAACTTTTAACTCTGCACCACACTGAAACTTCCGAACGTCTGCACTTAGAGCAGCTAAGCTGCAAAGCGCTAACTACTTGTTGAGTTAGTGCGCGAGTTATACAAGGCGGTACAGTGCGAAGTAGACGAGTGGGTAATGATTGGAACTTATTTCTGTGTAATGTGAACACTAGTGAATGGTATGAAAACGTACCTCACACTGGTCGTTTTGAATTGGCCATTCAGCGGCGGATCCAGCAATCTCTACACGGGGTTCCAGTATAATCAAAACTGAATAGCTGATACATGTACATGGACACGCATATGGTTCCAGTAGTACATTTACGAAATTTAGGGGGTTTCGCGGAACCCCTGGAACCCCTCCTGGATCCACCCCTGCCATTGGCATTGTGACATTTGTCCCATGTAGGCCGACTAATATGCGAAATTCAAGAGAACTACAGTCCATTTCAAAACTATAGACGCGCAGTGTTTTTGAAATATTTCAAATTTGGCTGGAACTTTTTGAGAATAGTTTTCGGAATATTGCTCAGGTCCGCTCCACAATTACTCTCGTATAGTTTCTAAGCGATTGGATAACAGATGCCCAATTTGGAAAATTTAAAAAAAAAAATATGCACAAAGGGATCACAGATTTTATGTGGTATAGATGCTGGCATAACGGTTTTTGCCTAGGTACGCGTCTATAGTTTTGAAATGGACTGTACAGTGTGCTCATCAATGTAGACCACCGGAGGTCAGAAGCCAGTTAGCTCTGCATCTACTAGTACACCATATAAAATCTGTCATCATGTTCTTAGTAGCAGTGATGAGGCTTCCAATTCCTGCAGCTTCATTCATAGGAACAAAAAAGGTTTCAGAGCAGACCCGCTCTTCCCATTCACTTCGGCAAAATTGCCCTCGTCAGGTATGCAATGGTGTGCAAGTTTGCAAAGGAGCAGTTAACTTATATACATGCAATTTGTTATGCTATGATGTGCTACATCGCACCCACCGTGACGTGCCAGAATCATAAAGATAATGATTAAACTAAAAAAGTGTAATACCAACAACATTTAGTCAAAGATGACAACAAAAATTCACGGTTCGCGTCAGACTTGGCTAGAGGCCGAGTTTTCCGCATCCGTAGGAACGCCACCACCCTTCAAGGATCAAGGCGCATATGCAGCTCCTAAAGCGGTGGGAGGTGAGTACTAGTAGATCAACAATGCTGGCTGGGGACTTCTGTTAGTATGACAGTTCGCTCAGTGTTACTCAACATTGCACCTAGAAAATATTACTGTGCGTTTAGTTACTCACTCTTCATATGTGGGCACTGAGGTGACATCTGGCACTAGCTGGTAATTTTGCTACATCATACACCACTGTGCATTATCTTATATTTTGTTGGATTGTGTGTGTGTGTGTGTGTGTGTGTGTGTGGTGTGTGGTGTGTGTGTGTGTGTGTGCGCGCGTGCGCGTGGGCGTAGTAGTATTAGTATTTATTCCCGTAGCTATGCAGAAGACGTTACTTCAGTAACGTCTGGCGCTAGCCAGGGTCCACACAACTTTAATTTGGTATTTGTTTGTTTGTTTGTTTGTGTCACGCCTGGCGCTATCCCGTATCTGTCCCGTACCGTACCGTACCATCAAACACAGCTGGCCACAATATTCAAATAGGGCTTTCAAATGCAAGATCATAACGTGAAGCAACTTGGAAGAATGAGTATGAATGCGAAGTGTATTGGGGAATGCATGTAGGGCGATAGCGCGGGTTCGAATCCCAGGTTATGCCTAAAAAAATGGAGAATTGAAAAATTTATAACATCCCTATGCTTTTTTTTGCCTCGGTCATCAAGGTGGTAGACGGTGTCATATTACCCTCGACCGTATCTGTCCCGTACCGTACCGTACCATCAAAGACGGCTGGCCACAAACAGCTGGCCACGATATTCAAATACTAGTAGGGCTTTCAAATGCAAGATCATAACGTGAAGCAACTTGGAAGAATTAGTATGTATGCGAAGTGTATCGGGGGATGCATGCAGGGCGATAGTGCGGGTTCGAATCCCAGGTTATGTCTTGAAAAAATAGGAGAAATGAAAAATTTATAACATCCCTATGCTTTTTTTGCCTATGTCATCAAGGCAAAAAAAGCATAGCGTAGGGCCCTGCGCTTCCAAGCTCTCTCGTTATTTTACTTGGGTATACCCAGCAGGCCTATGGACGCGTGCGTGGGTGTCTGTGTGAAAGCACTTTGGGCTTTGCGTAAAATTTTCACCACATTGTCATCTTTGACTATGTTTGTTGTTGGCATCACACTTCTTTTAGTTATCATTATCTTTATGATTCTGGCACGTCACGGTGGGTGCGATGTAGCACATCATAGCATCACTAATTGCATGTACCGGTATATAACTGCTCCTTTGCAAACTTGCACACCATTGCATATCTGATGAGGGCAATTTTGCCGAAACGTTGTAATAATTGATTGAGAAACGAGTTCGAGTTTGCAGAGTGAATGGGAAGAGAGCGGGTCTGCTCTGAAACCTTTTTCCTCATCATTTTCTGTAGACAAATCTTAAAAATGTCTTACGAACTATAAAATGGGGTATCGAATGGCTAAGAACTTTTCTTCCTGTGTTGGGCAATGTAGCAGAGGGCATTGGCCGATACTATTCTAGAAAAAAGTTCTGAAGGAATTGTGAATTCGAATCACTGCAGGAATCGTTGCAGTGAAACGTCCATTAGCAGACACCTCTCAACCAAGGACGCCTCTCAATGACACCTCTCCACGTCCAGGGTGCATTTGTTCTGTTCCAAGTGTTCTCAAACGAGTTGTGGAAGTGTTAAGTGTTGTGTAAATCCAGACGCCTGCATGTACTGGATACATAATGCCTGATGTTCAAGGTGTCCCATAGTCTAGATGTTCCACTATGTACTAGTGAAACACTGTAAGGAATCTGTGGCTTGAGTGCATTGCATCACACATAGAAGGAACTCAGAGTTACAAGGAGATGCTGGCGTTCACTTTCTTTCTATTATGTTGGGTACTAGGACTTCAAGTGTTGTGTGTGTTGTGTTTTATTGTGTCAGGGATGAGCCTGTTAGCCGAGGTACTCCCACCGTGGTGGAGATCGATACAGATCCAGGATGTACACACGAGGTATGTGACCTGTCTGCTCACTCAGTTTACTGGAAGTGCTATGCCATCATATTCGACACTGTTCTCTGCCACCCTAGCATGCACTTGTGTAAAGCCAAGTTTTCAAAACCAAGTGCATGCAGTACATGTTACACAGGCGCGTAGCACCGCCGTTGGCGGTGGTCCGGCCAGGGGGGGGGGGGGGGGGTCCCCCGGATTTTTTTGAAATTAGAGTGCAAAATCCTGCATTCTGGGCACTTTTGGCATTGTTTTACTATGGTGGTCGTGGTCGGGCGAAAAAGTGGTCCGGCCAAAGCCGGACCGGCCGGAGCGGCTGCTACGCCCCTGCATGTATAAGACCCTTTGCTTCGCCCACTGGTGGCATTCCTCCAACGGTACAATCTTAGTGTCAGGACATTCGTGTTGAGAAGTTGTCTGAATTGCCTTCGTGCTGGAATATTTGCCTTCTTGTCTTCCACTCAACTGCTGTGTTGCTAACAGGTGGCCCTCCCACCGGGAGTAATGTACACGCCGCTGATCGATGTTGCAAGAAAGCCAGCAAAGGTAACTTTGACAGTTGCTGCATGTGTGTGTGTGTGTGTGTGTGTGTGTGTGTGTGTGTGTGTGTGTGTGTGCGTGCGTGTGTGTGTGCGTGCGTGTGTGCGTGCGTGCGTGCGTGCGTGTGTGTGTGTGTGTGTGTGTGTGTGTGTGTGTGTGTGTGCACGTGTGTGTGTGTGTGTGTGTGTGTGCATGTGTGTGTACGTGCGCTCGTGCGCGTGCGTTTGTGCGTGTAATTTCTCGTGGGAAGTGAAAATCCTCATATTTAACAGGTGCTTTCTGTCCTGATCCACGCTTATTTTCCCATTTGCGTGTTTTCCCTGAATCACCCAACATGTGAATTGTGTTCCCAGTGTAATGACCATGGGTACAAGAGTTCGTCGACTTGCCTTCTCGCAACACGGCGGGTGAGGCTCCGCTGGCTAGATTTAGTTGACTGGGAATGTGTACTCCGCTGTGCAGATATTACTGCCTCGTGCTAAATCCCCAGAAGCCATTGCGCACGCCTTTGTATTGTAACTTTCCACATGTGTAGCTGCTGAGTGAGTTCCATCTTATAGGGGATTCACACACACGGAAAAATCCCATGGCTATAAGACGCGCATGCGTAGATCTTGTCTTTGACGAGTACTCTGAACCCTAGTTGTACGAGTGCATCACAACTTGCATTTTCAGACAGTACCCATCGGAAAATCGTGCATGGCGAATGCAAGATACAGTACAGAATGTACTACAAAAATGCAGTACAGATTATTTTTTTAATTTCCCCGCCACAAGGTCATGGCCAAACGTGCGGCCAAGGGAAAACTGACCACGGGTGTGAACGGCCCCACTCCGTTGACCGAAGGTCTGAACTTTTACCTTGTCCCGTGACCTCGGGTTTACCCGTGTGTGTGAATCCCCTATTAAACTACACTGGCTCTCCCCTGTTGCCTGGTGTACGGTTGTGTTCTCTGCTGCAGGAGTACAAGTTTGTACTTGACCCGTTTCAGCGCGAGGCAGTCAAGTGCGTAGAGAACAACCAGTCGGTGCTGGTGTCCGCGCATACGTCGGCAGGGAAAACTGTCGTAGCAGAGTAAGAGATTTCTGCTCGTTATAACTGTACATGATTTGTTTGGGTTTTTTGTTACAAAAGCCACGGCTCAAGAAGAATGAGAGCATGTGGTGACGAGGCCCTGGAGCTCAGCCGATGGAATGAATAACACCAGAAAATAATGACCTTTGAAGAGAATGACGGAAAAAGCCAGAGCCGATGCACTGGTATTAAAAATTCAGATACAGTGTGGGAAGGTCCGCAGAATGTACGAACTGGTAGAAATGAAGAGCTATGTTAG